GTCACCATGAATCAGAAATGATTCAGTGACAGTGAGAATTTACTTTTCAATTTTTCTTCAAAATAATTTTACATGAAGAAAAAAATGATTTAAGAAACCATTCCAATACATGTGTCAATAGAAAATAACAAGCCATGCTGCCATAAGGATATGTTCCTATAATTTTCAAAAATTCAATATAGAGTAAAAAATGGAGGATGTTATATTTCTACCATTTCTACCTCTTGATCAAATTAAGTAGTGTGAAAAAATCCTCCTTATAAATGTGAAATAAATTGTCTATAAATCACCCTGGGCAAAATGACTTTCAGTGGACTTTTGTCTTTGACAACTATTTTAGGCTGAGTTCTTGTAAGAAGTAAAATCAGCGGAGTTTGTATATGTATGAGAGGGCTTTAAAAAGCTAGTGGAAAAATTCCATGATATTTTTTTCCTTTTAACTTTTCATTGTAATTAAATAAAGGTTTACAGAGCTGATAAATTACATTTAGCAATTTACATGTTTTAACACATCTTAGTGTATTCCTCTCAATGTAACCTCACTTATCTTACTCCATTCCTGTTTTCTGTTTGCATGCCTCCTTTCCTAACCCCCTGAATTTTGCCCTCCCATTATCTCTTAATTCCATATTCTATGAACTTTTTGAAACTCCTTGGCATAGATGGATAGACAGAGTTATCTGAAGGAAATAGCTCACACTGTTGTAGAGGCTGCCAGATCCCAGTAGTGAAGCCTCTCTTGACTCACCTAGCTGCAGAGGCTAGGGAACCCAAGATTGACTGGTCTGACTGCAAACACCCCCAAGGAAATTTCACAGCAGCAGACCTCACCATGCAAGTGAGTACATTATATCAGATCACATCATGTGGGATAACATCATAACAGCAAAACTGCTGAGAATCATGGCCCAGTTGCCACCACCATAATCATCACAAAAACTTTTCCAGTGTCTCCTGTTTTCATTGGTCATTTACAAGCCTTGCTTCACTTTGAATCAATTTTGGGGTTTTAGAACCCAGAATATTCTTATTTCATGTAGCGTTAAACCAGAGAGAGTAGCTTTATTGTTTGCACTTTGATCTTGATTACATTTGGCAGTGGTGTTTTATTTGAGTCCTGGCCACTCATTCTTCA